TTATTAAGAAACTCGGAGTACGGATATTGCGGGCTGGCGATTCCCGGCCGTCCACCCCGTGCGAGAAGTAGAAGGGGGAGAGTCAGGAAGCTGCCGGTGGCAGACACACGGGGGCCCTCGACTCCCGACCCGGAAGAATGCTGCTGTGTTGGCATGTTGCTCCGAGTCCAAGACGTTACGACATTGTCGCGAGACTTCCCCGGCAATTTCTGGCAGGAGGGCGCACCTGAGAGAGCCAAGAGGGTGCACCTCTTGAGTCCCCCCTCCGCCGCCTAACAACCGCACCCGGCGCGTGAGTAAGGATACCCCCGCCCCACAAGCCGTCATCAGCCAAGCCAGAGTGAGCGCAGACATGAACATCCGGAGGTCCGCGCAGATTTCTTGGATCCGCGCTGCCCCCGCCCGCCCCCCGGCGCGTGGAACCAGCGAGCAGGGGGATCCAGCGAGAAGCCACAAAGGCCGTGCGGATCTCCGAAGATCTGCAGTCAACCCTTCTCATAAGAATGCGCGGTAAGGATGCAAGGGTCTTGGATGCCCATGTTAACGTTTTCCGAACGAGGTTGGCCAGCGAAAGTCGCTAAGGATGGGCCGAGGGGGAAAGGATGCAAGGGTACCCTCGGGAACGTTGCCCATCCTTACTATGCGGGTTGACTGTATGCCGCTCCTGCCTCAAGGGTTCAAAGATAGGGCCCCAGGGGAGGGGGCCACGCGGAAAGGAAGAGAGCCCAAGCTGAATTTACACTTCCCTGCCTGGCAGTCACTTCGCCGCGCTGACCTCCGACAAGGCCCAGAGCCTGGTCTTGCGCCTGCCTGGCAGCCCCACACCCAGGATTAAGTCGGGCACGTCCCTCTACAGGAGCCCCAAGTAGTCGAACAATCGTCCAGGGACTATGTTTGGACTATGTTAGGCTACTGTTGAATATTTGTTGGGGATTGTTTTTCAATGTTCGTCCGAAATCTGCCTGTAGAGGACATGCCCGGCTTAAAATTCCGGAAGCCACCAGGAAAGCCTGGACCCCCTTGACCCCCAGTTCTTCCAGACAGCGACATCTGACGGTCCTGGTACCCACTACGGCATACTGTCCGCAGCCCATCTGATGAAGGCTTGCCTCTTCGGCGGTGGACAAACCTCCCTTTAGTAAACCTCCAACGGCCAATTCTTTAATCGACGTGTCAGGGTAGGAGGTCTATCCAACTCCGACCTCTCGATGGTCCCCGACGCTGTTTCCCCCCTTCGGAGCACGCGCTGAAAGCGCACAACCTGCAAGTGTACCAGCTCCAGGTGCCTGAGGCTGCCTTAGGGGACACAAGAAATGACACAAACATAAAAACTAGGGGGGGTCGCGCGAATTTCTCGGAACGGCGCTGGACCCCCCTCCCTGCGGCGCCAGAGGCGCCGCCAGGTGGGCCCAGCGCCGATCCTAGAATTCCGCGGGAACCTGTGAGTTGTCATGTTTATGTGATTGTTTGCTCCCCTATGCCTGCGCGCTCCTCAAGGCGTAGACTCTCCGCGTCCGAAGCATCCTCCCTTCTCTCTCCTCCTCTGCCAGGGGGGAGGAGAGGGAGGAGGAGGAGGAGGAGGAGGAGGAGGAGGAGGAGGAGGAGGAGGAGGAGGAGGAGAAGGAGGAGAATGAGAGGGAGGAGGATGAGCAGGAAGAGGATGAGGAGGGGGAGGAGGAGGAGGACCAGTGTAAAACCAAGGGTCATCAACGATGTTGGAATAAACCCTCCCTCCAAGCTCCCTCTTCACAGGCCCCTACAACGGTTCATTTCCACTGGGGGAACTGCCCCGTTGGAAACCAACTGTTTGAAGACCCTGAAGCGTACCAAAACATCGTTCTCGGTTATCCCACGCCACGGATCAACCTGACTGTTGCGTCTTGACGATCCTGAATCGTGCCAGAACGCCATTCCTGGGACTTCAACACAGCGAATCAACGTAACTGTTGCGCCCACATGATCCTGAACCCTTCCAAAACATCATTTCTGTTACGCTGATCATGGAAGTCCGTGAAACTCTTGCAAATTCCTGAAACGAACGCACGCGGAACCAATGCGTGAGTCACATTGTGAAAGCGGCCCGCGTTCAACCTGTGAAGATCGTGCAATTTCTACAAAAAAGTGCGCGGCGCTAAAGCGAGAACCATATTTTTGAAAACGACACACCCTCAATCCGTGAAGCCCTTGCGGGTGTTGCAAACGAATGTGCGCGGAGCTAAGGCGAGAGCCATATTTTGAAAACGACTCGCCCTCAATTTGTCAAGCTCTTGCACATGTTGAAACGAATGTGCGCGGCGCTGAGAAGAGAGCCTGTATTTGGAAAACGACTCGCACTCAATTCGTGAAACGCTTGCACAGTTCAAAAAAGAATGTGCGCGGCGCTAAGGCAAGAGCCACATATTGAAGACCACCCGACCTAGGAAAAGGAAGAAGAGGAGGAGAAGGAGGAGGAAGAGGAGGAGGAGGAGGAGGAGGAGGAGGAGGAGGATGGGGAGGGGGAGGAGGACAGGAGGAGGAGGAGGAGGAGGAGGAGGAGGAGGAGGAGGGGGAAGAGAGGGAGGAGGAGGAGGAGGAGGAGGAGGAGGAGGAGGAGGAGGAGGAGGAGGAGGAGGAGGAGGGAGGGGACGCCCTCTTCTTTTCCATGTGTCCAGGTGCTCCCGTAGCCCGGCGCGGCCCGTCGCCCTCTCGCCGCCGCCCCACAGAACTCTGGGCACCTCGTCCCTGCCATCGCTCGGCTGTCCACTCCCCGCGCGTCTCGCGGCTTCCTCGAGGCGAATCGAGGCTCCTCGAGGCGAATCGAGGCTCCTCGAGGCGAATCGAGGCGAATCGAGGCGAATTTAGGCAAGGTTGCCTAAAAGGATCCTCGAGGCGAATCCAGCGGTGGCGACGAGGGCCTCCCAGGAGGCCGGCGAAGGGGCAAGCGGGACCAGGGTGGCTGCGTTTTGCCGTCGCTCGGACATCCATTCCCCGTGCATTCTTCGGTTTCGTGCGTGCATTTCCTCGCGATGTGATCCGGGATGCTCCTCGATGGCCCCCGCTGCGAAAAGATGCACACGCCCGAGCGATGCCAAGTGTCCCTATAGGGCCCCATCCCTCAGGGTCCCACCTTTTGACCCCGCCGCCCCTGCCGCTGCTGGCTGCTGCTCCAGGCTCGCCCTGCCCCTGTGGAGCAGGCGCCGAAGTTCCCAGCCTTCCTGGAATCCAGCTGCGACATTCTCTGAGGCCGAAAGGACTCGAGTAGGAGATCGACAACATAATGGACTTACCCGATATTGAATTGGTCGTCGAAATTGTGAACCACGCGAACCAGTCTCGCAAACCCGCGAGCATCCGATGCATTCTTTGTAGACTTGACGACACATTCAAGTTTGGGTTACATCGATTATGTCTGCGATCTTCTACTCGACGAGTGCTCTTAAAACAATGACAGCGTTCTTACCACAAGTAGCCGGTTGGTCAACACAAGACAGCCCCAGCCAGACAGGCTACACTAACGTTTCGTACAAACCGCAGAAGGCTCTCTCTCATTGCGCAGGGACCGGCCGTCCCAGTATTCTTATTCCTATCATGAAATGCGATGAATACCCACATATGTTCTAAACACAAAGAATGGTCTTAGAACACAAACAAGATGTGTTCAAACGAAGCAGTCTCAGCCAGACATGTTCGAACCACATTTCCAGACTACAGGAGGTTATATATATACATATATATATATATATATATATATTCTTCGGTGGACCTATAGGCAAGCCAGGACGCTTCGCCACTGCTCGATCTCAGGACATGCTTTTCCGAGAGCCTCTCGGCTCGACCCTGCCCCCCGTGTGGCCCCGAGGAGCACCCAGCTGCGCGGTGCTGCTGTCGGGGAGACCCAAAGCTGCCGATACCGCTGCTCCCGCCCGCACAGGGCCCTCACGGGCGGGTCGGGTGGGGCGGGCGGAACATTACGATACGTGTCCTAACGGGACGCCAGCGAAAGGGACTTCTGAGACCGCGGCGCTGACTCTGAGATTTCGACGGGTACGAACGAGAAGTCACAGTGCGGCAACCCTGTGGGCGAAGCCAGGCGGACTGAGAAGTCGGCACCACCCGTCCCAGAAGTCCCTTTTCCTGGGGCCCCTTTTTGGAACCGCACAGCGTTAAAGTAAGAAGTATTTTTTTGTTGCACGGGCAACCGATGATCAACTTCACACCTCTCTTCACAGTGCAGTGCCGAGGCCCCGGCAGGAGCGTGCATTATGCGCGCAGAGGTTCAGAACGCACAGGCTGGAATACAGTTCAGGCGTTTGCAAGTAAGAAATAACATATCCTGCGTCGTCGGTTTGCCACGCGAGAGCCCCAACGGCCATTCCCTGCCGAGTGGGCCTGGCCCGCACAGGCGGGTCGGGTCGGGCGGGCGGGACACGAAAGCGGGCGGACCTCTCCTGGGGCGCATTCCGACGAGAGCCTCGAGGCGAATCCGGCGGTGGCGACGAGAGCCTCCCGGGAGGCCAGAGAAGGGGGGAAACGGGGCCACGGTGGCGGTATCTCGCCGTCGTTCGGACGTCCATCCCCCCAGCATCCTTCGGCTTCGTAAGGGTATGTTTTCGCGGGGTGATCCGGGATGCTCTTCGATGGCCCCCGCCGAGAAAAATGCACGCGTCCGGGCGATGCCGAGCTGTCCTCTGAGCTCTTCGCCGCTGCCGCTGCCGCTGCGCTGCCAGTGCCGCCCGCGCCGCCCCGACGCTGCCGCCGCCCCCGCCCCCGCTGGCGCCTGCCACCTCCGCCACGCCGCTCCCTGGACCTGCGGAGGGAGGCGGAGGGGGGGCGGGGGAAGGATTGGGGATGGGGTGCACCTCCTCCTCCTCCTCCTCCTCTTCCTCCTGCTCCTGCTCCTCGTCTTCCTTCGTCCTCCTCCTCTCCTCTACTCTGCTCTCCTCTCCTCTCCTGCTCCTCCTCCTCCTCCTCCTCCTCCTGCTGCTCCTCCTGCTCCTGCTCCTGCTCCTCCTCTTCCTCCTCCTCTTCCTCCTCCTCCCTCCTCCTCCTCCTCCTCCTCCTCCTCCTCCTCCTCCTCCTCCTCCTCCTCCTCTCCTCCTCTCCATCAGCATGGTGCAGTGGAGGGCCCGCACAGCAGGGAGCAGCGAAGGAGGAACGGCACCAGCTGGGCCGCGCGCCCCGACTGGGCGGGGGGGCATCTTGGGCCTCCTCGCCTGGGGGAGGGAGGCCTTGCTGGCGGTTTTCCTCCGGCAGGAAGGAATGCGCCGTGTGTTCATCAGGCACACGAGCAGCAAGGGCATGGCACGAACGGCGGGTGCTCGGCTGCTCCTCGCCTGCGGAAAAGGCCCGCTGAGTCATAGCATTACGGCGAACGCTTTGGAGAAAGAAGCCAGGACCTGGACGAAGTCGGGCGGGGAGAACTCGGGGATCTCTGAGATCCGGCGGTTCTGCAGGATGCACCGGGCGCCGCGGCCGTTCCAGAGCGCTCTGAGAGTGTCCTGGAATTCTCTAGAGCAGTTCATCCAGGTCAGGGCCCCGCCCGAGGGTAGCAGAGCGTGTGGGAGAGGAGCGCGGTAATCAATGTTTGACGTCAGCGGCGTTCACGATCCGAGATCGGGGAATTCGAGGGCTTCGGACCACTCTGGGGAGCTCCGAAGCCCCGAATCAATACACATTGCCATGCCCTGGGGGACACACTTTTCATCCGCCAGCCTTGCGCTCTGAACCACCCTCGTTTTGCTGCCGCAGTCCTTCCGTCGAGGAAGAGGAGTCGATTCCTTGAGTCCTGAAGGCGAGGTCATTTCTGGAGCGCCCCAGACCTTGCCGAGATTGGCGCGCTTACCCACAATACCGACCACAGCATCCCCAACACGGTGTGTAGATACACACATACTTGTTTTGTCCGCGCACACGTGCCCTGAACAAAACTTTGTTTCTTAGGCGTCGCGACGCTGGCACGACGCTGGTCGGAGGCAGCGCCGTCGATGTACGACGGTGAATGCAGGTCGTCCTGGTCAACGGACTGGGGATCGTCGCGTAAGATTGGCAATTATTCTTCTGCGGGAGACAGGGGCACACTGGATCAGAGAGGGGGGACGAGGCAAGAGAGAACAGGTGGGAAGAAAGTGACACCGTAGGGCCAGCTCTGGGAGCACTGCTGCTGGACTCATGCGACCTGGGGAAAGAGGGAACGCGTGCCGCGTGTATTGATTGGCGCGGAACTTTGGAACACACATTTTAGCGCACCGAATGAAAGCATCGCCGTGACGATAACTGGCCTGCGGGTTTGCGGGGGTTCGTCAGAGATTGACCGCGGTGGTCTTGCCTTGACGGGAACGGGTCGGCATTACCATCGCTGTCGTCATCACGCTAGTCATCAACGTCGTCATCATCCATCAACTTAGTATGCTGACCCACACGCATCGCCATTCTAACACCATCGGCGCCCATCTCATGAACCGTAAGCTCATAGTCCCCGTCATTCCCGATGGTCCTGGACCCGCATGCAAGCTCGCCATCTGGCTTTCGCCTGGAGTTGGGCCAAGCAGTCCAGCAAGTCTGAAAACTGTGCGGTTTCGTTGTGCTTACCCTCTTCCAACTCCCTGTCCTTGTGCTCCTCCTCCTGGCTCGTAGCATGAGGCGCCACGAGTTCGATGATCCTCAACCAGCCCTCGCTGGTACACTACCCGCCTCGTCGAAGTGCAGCTCGGACCTGTGGTACCGCAGCCTGGATTACATGCTGCGGGATCGGTGCTGGGATCTTTATTAACGTGGTATACAGCAAATGAGCGACAAGCAAAAAAGAGAAATGAGAGGGAGCGGGATGGCGGAGGCCGAGACGGTCAAGCAGGTCAGCAGGGATGGGAGAGTTGAGAATGACAGCTGCCCACTCGAGCACACGGTCGCAACAGAGGTAGTGTGGTACATGATCTCTGCCGCAGGGGCATCCGAAACGACAAATCTTTGCATCTTGAAATTTGGTCGAAGTGGTCCACCCTCCGACGAGGGTCTTGATTACACTAGAGCTATGATTCTGAGGTAGCTGCCGGCAAGCCTCCCGCACACGATCCCAATTCAATTGATCTATCTCAGCAGACAGCTCTGGGAACCAGGTCTTGAGCCGCAGGCTTAAAGTGCGAGGAATCTCATTCGGAAACAGACCAGATTCAAGGGCAGCCGCCAGCGTTCTTTGAAGCTTCGGGCGAGGTCCAGCAGAGGGCGACGGGTCAGTCAGAGCCTGGAGGACGGGGCGGGCCGCCGAAAGCGCCAGAGAACCGAACGGGGCCAAAGAGGGAGAGGAGGGGAAACCGAGACTCGCTTCTCTGAGGTGCTCAACAATGCTGCGGTCCGCCCAGAATGGCGGGGACCAGGGACCAGTGAGCGCAAATCTGTAGGCTCTCTGGGTCACCGTGGCACGCTCCAGCAGCTGGTAAAAGGTCTCCCAACCTCGGAAAGTCCATAGTGCAGCTCTCATTCTTGCGGCTAGGTTCTGAACAAGGCCGCTGCGGAATCTGGGTGCGCCCCAGGTGTGAATATTGAAATAGTCTGATCTCGACATCGTGCAATGAGGGACTCGAAAAACTGATGCTAACAATGCGTGCTCTTCTCGTTCGTAGGACGGGGGAAGGGGGAGGAACTGGCCGACGTACGAGAGGGTGGTGAGAGCACGATTGTCATACATCTTGGCTGCGACAAAAGTGGGCGGAGAAGCAGCGGCTATCTGTGCAGCTCGTTGTGTCTGCTTGGCTCTGGGGGCAGCCCACGATTGCCAGCGGGCCTCAGGACCTAAGATCATCCCCAGGTATTTCAGCACAGGAGCGATTTTGAAGTCGGTCCAGGCGGGGATCACTCGAGCGATCCAAGCGCGGTATTTCTCGGCCAGAGGTTCCGAAAAGGGACCCGCAAGTGGCGTGAGCACACATTTGGCTGGCTTCAGAAAGAGTGATGCTAACTGTTCAGCAAGAACAAACATGTTATAAAGTCGCTTGAGACCGCTGATAACATACACCACAGCTCCTAGGTCATCTGCACATGCTCTTGCAGCCCCCGCGGCAAGACGCCGCCGCGATTGTTCACTAGGGGCAGCTGTGGGCGAGACTCGAGATTCGAATGTGGCTTCGAGCATGGCTAGGAATGGATGTGACGCCAGTGCGTACAGTGCGCCGCTGCCTGGGCAGCCCTGTACAATGCCTGAAGATATTCCGAAGATCGGGAGAAGGAGGTCGCCCGCCTGCGCAAGACACACCACATTCGCGTAAATCACCCTCACAAAGAAGACGAGGGCAGGGGGAAGGCGGAGGGCTTGAAGAACAAGGAAGAGCCAGGTGTGGGCGATACTGGGGAAAGCGTGGGCAAAGTCAAAGCTAATCAGGGCAGGGAGGGAGTGGGGGGCAGACTCACGCATGGAAGCGACTCGGGCGTACATGTCTAGCTCCACCACGTTGAGGCCGTGGTTCCTGCCTTTGATGAAGCCACGCTGGATGGGGCTCACAAAGTTGGGGAGCTCGTTCGAGAGAGACCAGAACACTGCTGCCGTAATCACTTTTACATCCGAATTTTTCAATCCAAGGGGCCGAGTTTGTTCAGTAGTTCGAATAAGCGCTTCTTCATCTCCAGCCTCCTCTCCTTTCGGTATGAAAACCTTCCTCAAATGGTTAAAGTCGTACATCATATACTGGCCTTGGAGACACCACCACATAACTGAAGCTAGAATACGACTACCTGCAGGGTGATGTAGCCACGCAGCGTAGGGAAGCCCGTCTGGGCCTGGGGCGCTGGGAGAGACTCTCTTGAGGACCTTCTCGATAGTGGCCTGAGTGGGAGGGGGGAGCTGACTGAGGTCCACCGTCGGGGAGTACTGGGAGAGGAACTCGATCGCTTTATTTTCGTCGATACTCTTCGTGCCGAAGATGGGGCCCCAGTGCGCTGCCAGTGCCGCAAGCCTCGCATCGGGTGATGTGAGGACCGTACCTCCACATCTGATGCCTTGAAGTACCAAGCGTCGGTCGAATGGCGACCACAGCTTAGCCCTTTGCGTTAAACCTTTCAGACGGCGACGAAGCTTTTTTTGGATATGAACGGGATCCTCAGGGTCTATGGCAGCACGGGTCTCTGCTTTCTTTCGTTCAGCACATTTATAATGGGTAACATTCGTCGCCATCTGAAACTCGACCGGGTGGCGGAGCCGAAGAACTTCTTCAAGTTCATCAATCTCCAGATAGTGACGTGCAAGACGATGGCTCTGTTGCAGCCGCCGGCCCAGTCGCATATCTTGCTGGAAGAGAGCGCGGGAGATGGATTTGTAGACGATCAGGTGAGTGAGAGGGGGCTCTGGATCTTTGAAGATGATCGAATCTCTGGCGTACTGGGCCGCGCAGCGCATCACGCGCTTGTGGAAAGCCAAGAGCTGCGGCGGCGACATGTGCGAAGTGTCCACGTCCATGGCGGCTGTTTTCACGAACTTCTGAAACTCTGGTCTCTTGAAAACCTCCTGAGGAATAGGACGATCTTCTGGTTTCATCGGAGCCCTGGGGTTAAGAATTGCTGAGACCGCCGCATGATCAGACACTTCAGCATGCTCTAAAACTTCTGGAAAGCCGTGCACTTGACCAGTAGTGCTCAGCTGCGTGATAGCCCACCCAGGGGTGGAGAGAAAGATCCTATCCAGCTTCGAGGTCGTGTGGTTCGCTTTGTTGTAATGAGTATGATCCCCCACCTCCACCTCCGTCATCATCCCGAAAATTTCATTCCACACGGTCTCTCGCTGTCGACGCCACCCGAGGAGTTGCTGCTGAGCAAGCGGGTGAGATCCTAGCGGCCTCGGTGGGTCGCTTGACGTGTTAAAGTCGCCTGCCAGCACCACGAATGAGTTCATAGGGTCCTGGGAAGCCTTGGTCAAATCGTCCTGGATAGCCTGGAAGATAAGCCGCCTAAAGTAAGAGTTGATGCCAAAATTGTGTATGTTCCAGTGAGACACCCATGTCCCATTAGGAAAAGATATTGAAAGCTGTAGAACTCGCCCTGGAAGCCAGACCTGAGGAACAATCGTAGGTTGATTAGCTCCTGGAAGTCGCCCAAAATCAGGAACGAAAGTGATGATACCCCCAGACCTATTCGTGGTGTCGGTCGCATTGTCGCTGCAGAAAGAGGTGAAGGCCAAGAACGGACGATGGAGATGGTAGAGAAAGTCATCAACTTCGAATTGCGCGCCGTGAGACTCCTGCACTGCTACCAAGCCCCCTTGGATCAACAGTCTCTGGAGGTACCCAAGCTTACGATCACGCAACCAAGCTTTGTGATGGAACAGCGCCCTGGCATTCCAGGAGGCCACAAAGAGAGGGAGGGGCTGCTGAGACGTGCGCCATGCTCTGAAGAAATTGCTAAACACTCCACCGTGCAGGGCCTGCCGTCGGGGCCAATGCTGGCTCCAACTTGTCCTTGATCGCCTGCTTGCAGAGGCCGAGCGTGCAGAGGTGCTCATCTGCAAACTCGATCCGCGGGGCGGAGTTGGGGCCTGTGACCTCGATGCGCACGAGCTGCTTCCAGTTCGCGGAGATCGTGCCCATCTGCTTGTCCGTGAAGAAACGCATGTTGTGCGGCGCGCCGCCGTAGATGCTCTCCAGCGTCTTCTTGGCGCGCTTGAGGGCGATCTCCAGCTTGACCATAGCCGCTGATTTGTCCGCTGCCAGGTAGATCTCCACCTGGTTGTTCGCCGCATCCAATGTAGTGAAACGTTGCCAACTGCCGTCTCGCCCCCTGAGAAGCGACAGTGCTTTTGCCACCCTCCTTGAAGCGAGGTTGGCGTTGCCGTGAAACTGGATTTTGAACTTGGTGTCTGATGGCTCCGACAGGACCTGAACCTCCTCATTCGGGATCTGAAACTGCTCCATCCATGGGCGCAATGCTTGCAGGAGGTTCGGCTTCGGGACCAAGGTCTTTGCGCGGGCCAAGATGATGGTCGGGTCTGGGTCGCGTGCGAAATTGTCATCGACGATGGGCTGTGGCGAGGGCCGCTCCGACTGCATGAGGCCGAACAACTGCTCGAGATGCTCGAGCTTGCTCTCCAGGCGCTCGATCTTTTCGCCCTGGATTCGCTGGGTTCCTTCGACTCTCGCCATACGTGATTCCATCTGTTGAGATAGCTGCTGGCAAGATGTGCTGACCGTGTTTGCCAAGCCGCCGACTGATGCCTGAACCTGGTTGATGGCGGCCATGAGCGCATCTTTGGTAGAGTCGACATAGCCTCGAAGATCTGCTGCTGCATCAGGTGCTGCGTGCGGTTGTGCACCAGGTGGTGGCAGTGGAGGAAGCACGGGAGCGCAACCAGCACCGTGAGGAAGAGGAGGGCAAGGCCGCACAGGAGTCGAGCCGCCTGTCCCTGCCGACGTCGCACCGCGGCGCCCTCTTGAGCTCGGAGATGCTTGGACTGGTCGGCGCACACCTGCGGGTTCAGCTGCTGTCGACGCCTGCGTAGACCGACGGAGCTGTTCTTGACTTCGGCTGCGATCATCAGCACGCGGTGTGCCCGGAGGAGAGTGCCATCCTTCGGGTGCCTCATCCGTAGACATGCCGACTGCCGCTGCCTCTGGTGCCATCGCTGCCGTTCTGTCTGGACTGGGAGAAAACAGAGAGGAGAAAGCGCTCGGTCAAAGTGGGCCGCCGTGGGCCCTCTTGCCTCAAGCCCGTCTGACCCAGACAGGCTACGGAAGGGTCCAAAGCTAATCGCTGATTCTCGGGCGTCTATAGCCCTTCACAGCGTTTAGCCTTGAGCCAAAATGGCTACGGACCTTGTGCTCCTCCTCCTCCTCCTCCTCCTCCTCCTCCTCCTCCTCCGTCCCCCTCCTTCGCCGTTATCGTGACCTTTCCTCCCGCTTCCTCCTTCCTTCTCTTCCCTCCCTCTACCACCTAAGGCCGAAGCTTGCTACTTCCCTTTGGAGCCACCCCTTTGATCATGACGAGGCTAGAGGCGCGAAATGGGTCACAACATGGCCACATGGGGGCCAGGAACGATGAGGGAGGATGAGGAGCAGGACGCGAAGGCGGAGGATGAGGAACAGAGGGCAGAGGAGGATTAGGAGGAGGAGGAGGAGGAGGAGGAGGAGGAGGAGGAGGAGGAGGAGGAGGGGGAGGAGGAGGAGGAGGAGGAGGAGGAGGGGGAGGAGAATCCATCCCCCATCCAGCCCGCACCCTCGCCCAGGGGAGTGTGAAGCCTTCTGTATCCTTTCTGGGGGGGGGGATACCCGCGGTGGCGGCCCACGACGACGACGACGACCCACGACGACGACGACGACGACGACGACGACGACGACGACGACGACGACGACGACGACGACAACGTCGACCGCGGCGAAGTCAACGGCAGGCAGGCACGAAGCGACTACGACCCTTCGCTGTGGGTGTTCTCTGGTCTGGGCCGGGCCCGCCCGCGCCATCGAGGAGCCCGACGCCGCCCAAAGGACACCGAAAAGGACCTGGATCCTCGCACGATCCTCGAATGATCGACGATCGGCGATCGACGCCGACGCCGCCACCGCCGACGACGACGCCGACGACGACGACGACGACGCCGACGACGACGACGACGACGACGACGACGACGACGACGGCGGCGGCGGCGGCGGCGGCGCCGGCGGCGGCGGCGGGCGGCGGGCGGCGGGCCGCGATCTGCGGTCGTCCCCTATGGGCTTAAGCCCCTCCTCCGGGAGGGGGAGGGGCGCGGCGCCGCCGCAGGTGGCGGGGTGAGCAGAAGGGGGGGGGCGGGGAGGGGCAGGGGCGAGGGGCGGCAGCAGGGGGCACGAGGAGCGGGAGGGGGGGGAGGGTGAGGAAAAGGGCAGGCCAGCGCGTCGAGGAGGAGGGGGAGGGGGGGGGAGGGGGGGGGGGAGGAGGGGGGGGAGGAGAGGGGAGGGGGAGGGGGGGGGGGGGGACGGGGCAGGAGGCACGAGGAGCGGGAGGAGGAGAAGGGGGAGGGGGAGGGGGGGGGGGCGGGCTAGCGTGGCGAGCGTTGGAGCCGCGGGCTCTCCCGCGTACGGCCGCAGCGGCGGAGCGCCGGCGGCGGGAGGAGGGGGGGGACGAGCATTACTTGCCGTCGCTCGGACATCCATTTCCCGTGCATTTTTCGATGTCGTGTGTGTGTGTGTGTGTGGTTTTTGTTGCTCGATGGTCCAGGATGGTCCTCGATGGTTCTCGCAGAGAAAAAACATGCACACGTCCGAGCGATGCCAAGAGTAGGGGGCGGTGCAGGAGTAGGAGGGGCGAGATCTCGTCCTGACTCCGCCCCCTCCCTCCCTCCCTGCTCCACGGCTACACACTCTGGATACTGCTTTCCTCTCTCCCCTGGCTCCCGTCCAGACGATGCCCCGCCTTTCTCCGCGTACTGTTTTGGCACATGCAGGACTTCAAAAACTCATGTTCCTTATGCTCCTTTTCTGGTTCACAAAATGGCTGGTGTCCATGTGCCAAAAACCTGCTCCCGCTGCAGCGTGGGCCTCATTATCGGATCGGCGCTTGGCCCCCGTCGTTCAGAATGGCGCTCTCGCCCCAGCGCGGGCCACTTTTCTGGACTCGAGTCCTTTGATCATCGCTGCCGCACCCCTCGTTTCCCCTCCTTCGCCTTCCCCTGGTCCTCGTGCTCCTCCCGCTCCTTCCACTCCAGCTCCTGCTGCTGCTGCTCGTCCTTGTCCTCCTCCTTCCTCCTCCTCCTCCTCCTCCTCCTCCTCCTCTTCCTCCTCCCCCTCCTAGTCCTCCTCCTCCTTCCTCCGCCTCCTCCTTCTCCTTTTCCTCCTGCTCATCCTCCTGGTCATCCGCCACCCTCTCCTCCAGTGTACGCAGCTCCCTTTTTCCGGCTGCCCATGACACGATGGCGTCCTCTATTTGGAGTTCCAGGTCCGCTATGACACGCGTCCACAGATCGAGAACACAGAAATGCCATGGGAAAGGATGGGTGGGAGGGGTCGGATATCAGCTCTGGCGCGAGCGCGCAAAGACTGTCGTCGCCCAATCTCCTTTCTCCTCCTCCTCCTCCTCCGCCTCCTCCTCCTCCTCCTCCACCTCCTCCTCCTCCTCGTCCTCCTCGGCTTCCTCCTCCTCCTCCTCCCCCCCCCTCCTCGTTGTCGTCCTCCTCGCCGTCGTCCTCCTCGTCGTCCTCGTCGTCGTCCTTCTCGTCCTCTCCCTCGTCCCTCTTCGTTGTCGTCCTCCTCGTCGTCGTCCTTCTCATCTAGGCCCTTTTCTTCCCTTCTCCCGCTGCGCGCGCCGGGGGGGGCGGGAGATAGAAGGGATGGTGGGGTGGAGAGGAAGGCGCAGCGGGAGGACGACGACGACAAGGACGACGACGGCACGGACGACTACTACGATGCTGGTGTGACGAGGAGGATAAGGAGGATGAGGAAGAAGAGGAGGAGAGGAGGAGGAGGAGGAGGAGGAACATGAGGAGGAGGAGGACGAGCGAGGGCCAGTACAGTCAGGCTGCTGAAAGAAGGAACGACCAGTAAGGAGCAACGCCCTTGTCGGCCCCCAAGGCGCCTGCGTGCATGAGGAGGCTTCGAGGAGCAGCGAGGCCCTTCCGAACCCGAAGCGGTCCTTCTTTGAGCGTCTTGGCAGGAGGACGGGGTCTGGGGCTCGGGTCGTGATGATTCGGGATGTTGCAGTGTTCTGTTTCGCAACGTCGGATCTCAAGGGAGGCGGAGGAGGCGGAGGAGGAGGAGGAGGAGAAGGAGGAGAAGAGGACTGGGAGGAGGATGCGTAAGAGGATTCCCTGTGCACGAGGATCCGCGTCAAGCCTTGTGGTCGCCTTAAGTAGGCAGTCGCGGAGCGATTAAGGGGGCCGACCGAGGGGCCCGACAAAAAGCGAGCGGGGCGAGGGCCAGGGAGGGCGGAGGAGCGGGGGGAGCAGCAAGAGAAGGTGCGGGGAGACAGGCAGAAATGAGGACGACGCGGGACAACGATAACGATACCGACACTAACGATACTATAACAACGAAAACGATAACGATAACGATAACAGCGATCACGGTAACGATAACGCTG